CAATCTTTCATGACAATTTTGGATATAATATGCTGCATTATGGATAACAATAGTTGTCAACTGCATTTTCCAGGTAACTGCAACGGAAGGAGCGCCAGTTGAACGAGCCCGTTCTTGGTGTCACAGCATGAATGTGCCGTTTTTTCGACTTTCTGCACCACTGCATAAAGATATCCCCATGGATACGCGGGATGACACTGATATAGCACGTATGATGTGGGATTGTGTGCAGTATTGCAATACGATGCGTTGTGAAATGGAAAAACTACGTGAACTTCTCAGAAAGGTTTGCCATTGCTACAGAGATATTGATAATATCACGAAATAAAATTTAAAAATCTCCCAGAGCATTTAATTGCGTCAACTCTAAAGTTTATCCTCTCCATATCGAAATATTTTTAAAACTTGTAAGGGAATTATGTTCAAATTTAGAACTGAAAATCGATCATCTTTCAGTTGATGCACATTCAATGCAGAGACCAAGAAAAAGTCACACTTTATTAATTCGTATGAATCTTAACATAATGTACTTGATACAGAAGGGAATATGTTTAAGAATTGAAAAATAATTCAGTATTTGTTGAAGCTGGGGCCGTCTTGGCGCCGACGGCACCTTTTCGAAACCGGCAAAAGTGAAAATGATACAGAATTGTAAATGACGGATCGTTCGGGTTTGCTGTAATTGAGCAGCCATTTAACCTGTGTATATTTCGACTCTCATTTCATACATCGAAGTCTGAGTATTTGTTCGTTGATGTCAAGGATCCAGTAGTTAATGGACCAGGTTTGAACCACCGAAATAAATTCACTTCTTAACTCATTTTTTTTATCTCTACTCCATTTCATATATATTGTTGTGATGTTCACAAAAATTTATTTTTTATTGGTGGCGTTCAGTCCGGACATAAGCACTGTGCTAAAACGGGCTGTGGTTGTAGCAGACAATGTTTTTGTTCATTTGACTTCTAAAATTCATCTTAACTTTTTTGAAAAGTTCAGATCTAGGATAAACCATCTTAAAAGAGCCTTATTTCTAGAGGTTTTACCAGGCTATTTTTCTTGGATTTTCTCAGTATTTTTACATGATATTGCAGATTTACGTTTATCCGTGCTAGTCATTTCTATTGTTTTTCCTTATATTACGTTGTTTTAGTTTTAATGAAGTTTTTGTTTTCAAAAAGAAAAGATTTTTGTAGTATTTGATTGTTCTTATAATCACTCAATCCATTGGCCTCGTTTATTTGTTCCTTCACTTTCTGTATTTACTGATGGAGTCATTATTTATTGGAAGCCATTTATGAAATAGCTGCAAGTGCATTCAAATGTTTTTGTAATAATTGTTTGCGTTATTTTGAAATTGGTTCAAGTGGAAACAGAAATGTAATGTATTATCTCATTATCATGAGCTTCTATTATCTGCATTTTATTTACCGGGCGCAGAGGAATTTCAGTCGATACAAAATTTCCTTGGTTGTTTGTTGACATTTTGGCTGAACGATGAATTCCGGTCTTCTATTGTCGCATTGTACTATACACTTCATTATTTGTGATAATATTACGCCTAAAGTTATTTTCAGACTATTTGAGCCGGGAATCAGGTATTCCCTGGTAATTTTTTGTATCTCAAATTCTCTTCATAAACAGGTTTTTTATCATATAAGTATTTTTCTTCGTATGGGAACTCCTTTTGCTCCTGTATATTTTTCTCCACGGTGGATTGAAATTTTTTATAAAGTCTAACCATAAATTTTTTGAGTTTTGAAAAATTATCCAACGTGTGATATATCTTGAACTATTATTACTTTAACATATTTCTCTTGAATTTTCGAGAGTCTTATCTTTTATGTTCGTGGGCGTTATCGCTGTTGTTTATTGCTAGTTTCACCGCATGAAAAAAATTCTGCTTAAATTGGGTTTAATAGTTATCATATTATGGTCCATAAAATTAATTAAGAGTTTTTCCAGTGGTGATCATTTTCTTGCACTTCTTTGTGTGAAAAAGGCTGATGCAATGCAACCTTCTCTTCGTTGTAGTGTGAACTGCTTTTAATCTTCGATTAAGTAGTTTTTGAAGTGATTTTTTTTATTGTTGTGGCAGATGTATTCTTGTCGAAAGAATATTTGTATTTTTTGTTTTAATCTGTAAATGAAGATCTATTTTTTTCTAAATATCTTGTGATGTGGGCAAATGCTGTAAGTCTGGAATGGATAAACTAAGTAAGGTTAGTTATGAATATCTTGTCAAAAAAAACTGAGAAACCGTTATGATGTTTGTTACAGGTGAGTCGTTGGCTGACACCGATTAGACGTAGTGAAGGAAGTTGTAAGTCATTGTCAAGTCAGAGAAGCCATCGGAGATTTGTTAGTGTTGCCATGTATATCCATAAATAAGCATTTGGGTACAAGTTTTCAACCATGTACTTTTGGAACTGGGTTTTTTTGTCTTCTTTCTGAAGGGCTTTGTCAGGAATTTACCTATGCCGTTGTGGTTTATGCCATTCGACCTCCCTCTTAACATAGCATTCAATTGCTGCGTACCATAGATTGACGTTGTATCAAATGCTAGTGGTGATTGATATGTTGTGACCTCCCTACTTTAGTGCAGCTTCTCTCTTTTCATAGCAGCAGTAGGGGGTTGCACGCAGTATGCACTATCTCATCTTATTGATATAAATGTTGCCCTTTTGCAAAAGCTCCTTCAGCGACTTTTTTCTAGTTTAGTTGATGCATATCCGTCGATTAATTTCTTTCAGTCCCATAATTATGGCTCTATGTAATTGGGTTATATTATTAGTTCTTGATTCTGTTGTTATATTTCGTTATATCGCTTGTGAATGCAAAAAGAAATGCAAGGGGTATAATGAGAACAGATTGTTTACCATTTGGAATTCTCTCTCAACGTTCTCTTGGGCAAGGCTCTCCGTAGATTTACAATTTGGCTATTTTGAATCACTTAAACAGATATAATCTAAAATAATCGATTCATCTAACATCTACTCGATAATTCAATTACCGAGAGAATAAGAGCATGAAGAAGAAAGGACTCTTCGCAGTGTTTTTTCCTAGCAACTTCTAACAACCAACCATTCCAGATGGGCCTCATTTTTGGTGGATAATATCCGGGAAGGCATTCATCCGCTTTAACGGAGGAAATTTGGAAATGTGTGATATTCTACGAGCCTGCTGTATATGTATTAGTCATATCCTATAATCACCATAAATGCAATAAGCAAACAGGTTCATTTAATAGGTTAGTCTCCCCTGTCCTTTATTTCCTCTATTTTGTGTCACTCATTATTTCTCCTAACCCTGCGAACTCCTGTTGCTATCCATGATTCCTCTGCATTTCGGGTGTACATAAATTTTGTTCATAATCCCTCCTCTAATGATACCCCAGTGTTCGGAATACTCCTATCTCACCAATAGAATCAAGCAAAGAATCTAAACAACCTTTATATTACAATTGGGCCACAAGAATATTTTCCATTATTTTGCAGGTTAATGTGTATTTGTAGGACTATTTACATCCTAGTGCAAGTGAAGCGAAATGAATGATTTTTTTATGTTGAACTTTTCAAATTATGCATTAGTCCTTCGTTCTTCAAGGCACTTCTTCATGTATTTTTCTCAGCTTAAGTTTGAAGCAGCATTGTGAAGTTCGGTGTAAGTTCTGGTTGCCTGATGAGACTAACGCTTCTGGAACCTTTTTCTTGCCTGGCACTCAGATGTTTTTTTCTTGTCATATATCTTTCTTGCACTTAGTGTCTCTTGTATTTTGAGGATTTTTAGAGTCTTTCAGTGTTTTCCTGGAATAGCAAAATGAATTGAATAGTCTCCAAGACATTTGCTGTAGAGGAGATTGAGGAACGTTTAGTTTTTTTTTCTGGTTTTTCGACTTCATAATAACAATAATATATATGTGTAAGATGAAGGAAAAGCAGACTTCATTTCCCTTCAACCAAAATCAATATTACTATTTATGCATGTGTGTAAAGATGAGTAGTTTGAAAGCGTTAAGACCTTAGTTCCATTTTAGCTAGCCAGTTAGGCTGTCTATCTGTCGCACTATTATCACAACACACTTCTCTCCGCACTTTTTCAGCACTATGAAATAATTTATTGTATGGGAAAAGAAGTTCTGTCTTCTTGTCCCTAACTTTTCTTTTGTTCCCCCATCGTTTTGAAAATTTAGATCGTGAGGTTTTTGGATTCCTGTCACGATCCTTCAAGTTTCCATATTTTACAGAATTTTAAAAAGTTATAAATTTTTATTTCAAGTCTTTCTTTGTATAGTTTCTTGAGCAGCATGTTAATTCTGGAGTGTCAGTATCCACCTCTGATGTTTGCCCTTATCAGTATCCATTTTTCAATCTGCAATTACATATCCCAAATACGGCCGTGCTCAAGAGGATAGAAAATGCCATGAACAGGCAGCAAGTGCACATGTCATGTTACGCTCCGCACCTGTCACATACCCTTTGCACATGTCACACATCTCATTTCGATGTGCAAAAAGATGCAATGGCTTAAGCAAATATGCTACCTGAAATATTTTTGAAATGTAACAATATAAGTTCAGTCTAATTTGTTAGCCACAATTCTATGCAGACCAGTAACATGTGATAAATTGTCATGCGTTTTCATTCCATACAGTTATTACGATTTTCCACGCATGGCTCCGAAGTGTTCAAATGCGCCGGACACAAAATGCTAAATTGCATTTGGAGCTTATAAACTAAGACTGATGAATAATAAACGCAACAAAGTACTGCACTACTACAATGACTTTCACTATCTGGAAAATATGTTAAATTATATTAGATATCAGAAAGTTTTACTTGAGGCCTTGAGTCTTTCCGTTCTTTGACATCAATCGTCAGCTCATCATCCTGATTAGAGATCAGAGATTCACAACGTTTCTGCTAGTTACCGCAAGAAGTAACAGCGTGATACTTCTGGAGGTCATGTTGTCTTTGATCTTTTCTTGATTGTTTGTTATTGAGCTAGTTTTATAATAAAATAATGGAAGTGCAAAAATGAAAAATGCTGAATTATAGACTTAAAGAGTTGAAGCTTTTATTCATTTCTTACTCCTTCTGTCCAAATAACTCCATCGACTCTTCAAAAGCCATTCCTCACATGTGTTGTTAAACTTGTGCTTGTTAACAAGATTTGTTCAACAGCGCAAAAATTAAGGATTTCGACGTTTCGTTTTCTCACATGCAAACTAATTTTTAGCATTTGCCACAGTCTTAATCCAAATATACAAATCGAATGGATTTAATAAAAGTTTTGCTTCATTTTCTTGTTTTACCAGTCCTCATTGGATTATTTTTCAGTTTGGTAGCATTGTTAATTTCAAAATATTTCTATTGTGCATCAAGCATCAAACAGTTTGTTATCGTTTTGCTAACTTAATTTCTTCCTTTCCACTGTACGAGATCTCAAACTTTTAGATTAATTTAAGGGGCCACTGCGCTTTTTCATGTATATAATCTTTCGAAATCTAATGGATTTGGAAGTGAATCACGAAATAACACATTTTTAATATCTGAATCGTTAAATTTAAATATGTTTTTCATGGATTTTTACAGGACAAAAGCATTGTAGCGAAAAAGTAATGGAGAGACAGAAGTAATTTGTTTATGCATAATATCAATTCCCATTCAGTTTAGCCAAGTTTCACTTCTCTTGCTATCTTGCTATTCTCTAAGCAAAAACATGAAGCATTTATCGGCTTTACTAAATTTGAATAATCATGGATTCATTGCTTCTCAGAAAACCGTGTTAAATTCTCCGGTATGGGATTAACGTTTACAGTTGAAATTTCGATAACTAATAAAAACTGGTCCTACTTATTATAATTTCAGATAATCCCTGATTTGCACTTTAATACACTGCTTTCAAAAAGTTCCATTTGTTTAATTCCTTGTAGAACCTCGCCGAACGATATTTTGAACAGTAATGCGAAGCATACTGTCTCTGGAATCTCATGCATTTCTGAAGTTTTTTTTTGTTTCCCTCTGTATTTAATGAACTGTAATGGTTCTAATTAGTCATTTGTTCTAGTCGCTTAAATGTTTCATTTAATCTTGTTTGAATCAAATATTATCTTTATCTAAAGTGAAGATTTACATATTCTGGTTATTTTGTTTTTTTTTTTTGTGTTGCGTATCCAGATTTGTTTGGAATCTGTAAGCTTCAATCTCGAAAATGTATGAAGCAAACATTTCTGCAAATTGAAGAAATTTTTTGAAAAGAAAAGTAATACATACAATGGTGCTGATACCTCCTTTCATAATTTACATTCGTTTGTCCTTTCGTTGGTTCATTATTCAGTTAGCGTTTATTCTGGATTTAGATTAGTTTAACCATTCCTAAAAGGGTCAAATTGTGAAAAAATTGGAGATGTATGCAATAGTTTCTGGAATTTTATAGAAACTTATATCAATTATGAGTTATGATTGCAAAATTTCAAGGGGAAATATAGCAAAAGTTGCTCGCAGAATCTTGGACATGGTTGACATTTGAAAATGAAGCTTTTAGCACCGCCCTCCTAAACGCATACAGTATCCCTTATTGTATCAGTTTGCTTATTTTTATGTAAATCAGACGAGATTAACATTTTATGTGCTTGATCGGTTTTTTGCTTTGATTTCAAGTCATAACTTCAATCTTAATTTAAAAATCAGTTTTAATTCCGTTGTATTACACAAAACTTTCCTTCAAAATGTTTCGATTTTTCAGATGGTGGATGTTATTTGTTGCATCGAGCAGTTATTTTCAACTTTTAATCCTCCTTCTCCCGTCCCCCTTTCCCCCGTCCCGCCCGAATTACTGGTTTTCATGATATCCTGCTCAAAATCGATAGTTGACATAATACTGTAGTTGTCACCGTACCTTTTTCTGGACTTGCCTTTTTTAGTTAGCTCTAGTGACAACTTCTTTGTGTGATAACCTTAATTTTATCCTAAAAAGAAGGGAGACATGGAGTAGAGGACTAGAGAATAAGCAAAAAATGATTGATCACACAATCTCCTCGTAACAGTACCAGACCGTTTTGCCCACATGTTTCTTAGAAGCCGGAGCTCTTCTGGTCCTCAGTGTTTGTGATTTCCTATGATTATTTTAATTCCTCTTATCAAAGGATAAAGGCGAAAAGGTCAATTCATTTTTCCCGAACTTCATGAGCACTTCGATTCTTTATTAAAAAAGAAAAAGTTTTCGAACATTCAAACGTTTCGGATATTTTTAAAAGCTCTTTTAAAAGTGACGAGCCATGACACTGAGCGGTCATTGTTGGTTCACCTTCTGTTAGCCCAAGACAGAATCTCCTTAACAAATTAAATGATTTGATATCAAACCGCAAATACTTACCATTACTAACACACATGTTGTTTATTCCTATATTCATTTACCCAAATCATTTATATTACTTCGAATGAAATTTGTGTATCGATAACGATTTTGTTGCTCCCTATCCATTTTTAGTTGAATTCAACTAAATTCAACCGTATTTTTATAACATCTAACCATGGTTTCCATTTATGAAAATAAACCAACTTTGTAAATTAAATTTCGTAACGGTTTGGTGTCGAATGCTATTTAGCTGTAAGTTAGCATGCGGCACACAGAATGAGACATTCATGGGTGAAAAAATTTTTTAAAATTTGAAATATTACATCCGACTAAGTGAAATATCTCGAAGTATTTTTGCTGTTCACTAACGAATATTTATATAATAACGGGTCAAAATGACATAGCAGCTATCGAATAAAATATCTATATGACCTAAATCATGGTAAGAAGGCACGCATCGAAATTTTCCTATGAATTGTTTGGCTTCTAAATGGATTGATTCGGATATTTCAAAATTGTTTCCGTTTTTTTACCCCCTGCTGATCGAAAATGTATCATCACACATATGTTTGCTGTGCAAATCACTGTTCTGTCTACTATTCGTAAAAATAATACAAGTTGGTTTCTGAAAAACCAATAATTGCCCTTTGTTCTACCAATTTAATATTTCCAATGGAATGAGAATTCCATGATCAGTTCACTTTTTTCTCTGCAAGCATTATCAAGAGATTGGGATCATGCATGAGACTAAGCTGCTGTCTTCAATTAAAAATAACATTACTAGAAGAAGGGTTCATTTTTACTTGCAGTTTACCGTTCGAACTCATCAATTAGAAACTGGAACAGCGAAAAGTGCCTCTGTTAGTTAGCTGTTTTAGGGATGATCTCGACGATTTGCTGCTCGGGATGCTTGCTGGGTTAAATTGAAACTTTCCATTCCTATATCTTAACCCTTGACAATCCCATTCTTCAGCAATAAATTCATCAATTAAACTTTTTTTAATTTTACTGAATTTTCTGCTGAAGATTTTTGAAATTTTTTCCCAACTGAATTCTGAAGATTTCGAAATTTTTAATTAATGTCTTCACTTCACTTCAACGTCTTCACTTCAACGGATCTTGAATTTGAACTTCCAAATTGTGAACAACAACTTGTCTCCTTTTACTTTAATCCTGCATGCTTTGCTTTTTTGAATTCAAAATCTCAAAATTAAAGCAATTATAAATTAAATTGTGGTTATTATATGGCAAGTTTACAATATTTTACTATCTAAATGTTTTGTTCAAATATCATCTTACATGTGGCTAATCTTCCTTGCATGTTCAGTACTTCTACACCAAACTTCTACAGTCTGTTTCAATTAGCATCGTATGAGCGGTTAGTTTGAAATTTGTTGGTAAATTTGGTAAAAAGGAAATTAGTAGTTTGTGATGATTTCTACTGTAGTTTCCAACTGTAGAAAAACACTTGGTTTTTCGAACTATTAGTTTTCGTTTTTTTTTTTTTTAATTCTAAAAAAAATTTCTAAATATTGCTATAGAAAATATAGGCAAAAGCGAAGATAGCGAAGCATGCCGCAGCAAATAGTAAAATTAGTACACTGTAAGTGACTGCATAAATTACAAAGCGTGCACAAGTTTCCAGTATTCGCAGGTTCCTTCGTAATATTCTGCGAAGGCCATTGCGGAATTGGAATTTTCGTTTAGTGACCTCCAAATGTTGGAGTTTTTCTCGTCGGGATTTTTTGCCACGCCGAGACATCACTTGTAATTTAAGACGTTGTGCGACCATTAGGAAACTAAATTAATCATAACAGCAAGAAGTAATGGGTGGATTATGAGCATTTCGTATTTTGTTTGATGAATTGCCCCCATTGTATGCTATTTGCAACAGCAGATCATTATATATGCGTCTTGAATACATTTCTAGAACGCAATTTATTGAACCAGAAACGAAGGTTATGAAAATTTTCGTTTGTTAATGTCCAACTCATAATTCGGAACTTTAGTTTAAAGTCTTATGGTGTGAATTTCACTTTTCTTGGAACCAAAATGTATTAAGATTTATCCAAGTACGCCTTGATGAAAGAAGGTCCAGTTTTGACAATACCGCCCATCTAAGCCAGTTAGTTTTGCTTTTTAGATGCGGTTAGGTTATTTCCAGATTTCCCATGTTCACCAGGACTGATGTAATCCCAGTGGCTCTTCCTTCCTATATTCGCTGGACTTCAAATTCTATGTCTTATGGCCTTTTCGTGTCATTTCTTTTTCACTTTGGTTAGGATTTCATCATGACATCCTTTCAACTACTGTGATATCCACGATGGATGATGTGTCGTTTTGCAATGCTTCCACTGTTCCATTTCTGTAATTTGTTTATATTAGATTCATTGCAGCTGATGGCCAGTTGGTTTCTTCCTAATAATTACATAAGCATCATTTCCTATCAGTTGATGATTCCTCAGTTCTTGTCCAGATATAATTTTTATGTGATTCCTGATCCTGTGTTATTAATCTTTTCAATAATATTCCAATAATATTCTTTTAATCTTCTTTTTTTCGGTAGCATCATATTTTTAGCCACAGATAGTTTGTTTCTTTTCTTTGCCTATCCCTCTAGCAAACGTCATCCGATATAACTATAACAATCGGATGACATTTGGTTCCTTTTTATTTAATTTCAGTAATTCAGGAAGGGAATAAAGCGCAGATGCAGATGAAATTTTTTAAATTTGTGAAATTGGCAAGGAAGAAGCATTGATGAGCTCTGGCATGCCAATAGGGTAAGCGAAAGCAGCCTATTGTTGAGCTGAGTTTGAATGAAGGAGTTAAAATGATTTTGTTGGCTGTGGAAGTGAAGTACATTTATGGCTAAGCCTGCGGTTAGAAAAAAAAGAAAGGTTGGTGGAAAACTTTTTCAAGGATGAATCCTTTCATCGGTCAATTTGGCGATGTCCAAATGTATGGAAGGATAGACTCTGTAGGCTCTGTACATTAAAGTATCCTCTGTGCTATGTTTGCACTTAGCATCATTAAGGACCTGGTCCTAACTTGCTATGCAGCTTTTAGATTTGCCGTAATAGACAAAAAAAGAAAAAAGAGAAAAAAAGTTGTTTATGGCAGCAACAAAGCTCCTGTTCCTATGCAGTAGTTCATTTATTTGCACCATCAGGATATCAACGTAGATGCCATTTTGGTCTTCGCTGACACTGTCGCCAAAGTTCCAAATAAAATGAACATTTTTAATTAATTGGCAAAGACTTATTGAAGTGAGTGTTGCTCACATTACCATTCATATTTCCCCCGATAAGCTATATCGCCTCAATTTAACCCACTGAGATTCCTATTCTTTGCACGTTTTTTTTTTCCTTTTGATTGTGATGATGAAAAATGAATTTCACGAAGTGTGCTACATTGTTATTCAAAGTTAGTTTATTCTTCTAATGATTACATCTTAATACCTTTATTTCTAATTGTTTGATTGAAGCGTTCAACAAACAGCTCTTCTATTCATATTCATTCGGATTTCAAGCTTATTCTACACTTTTAAAGTATTCTTTCAAAACTTAATTTGGAAATATCTGGAAATGAATTCTTCTTGAATAAAAGTAGTACAGATATATCTAGCAAACAATGAAGTCTATATCGATAAGCAGTCGATCTTTGCTTTACTGCTGGCCAGTTGAAAATACCTTAACCAGGAATAATAATTTCTTCTTAAACAACAACAATCAATAGTGCGATGATGGCTGGTAGCACAGATATTTGTTCCGAGAATCTCCCTTTTGTAATTAGATCTAACAAAGCCTTCACATTTTTTTATTAACGGAAATTTTCATTTGACGTCGAATGTACATCATATATGCTGTTGGTATTATTAATAAAAGTCCACTCTAAAGTCCATTCCTGAATCTTGCTCCTTCATTGTCTTTATCCTTATATGTTGCATTTTGTTATTTTTTAAGTCTTGTTTTGAAAACTAGTTCTGGAGAAACTGACGGTAATGATGACAAACGCAGTTACATGAACCGCTACAAACGGCTACATAACTTCAGCAAAATTGATAATGCTTAAAAATAAAGTTGACTGATTTTACAAAATATTTTTCAGGAAATTTCTGAAAAGAGAAACTGAATTGTCGGAACTTGTTTATTCATATTACACAATTTCAACTGTGCTCCATATCATAAGGTGAAAACGAAGCTTCTAGAAGATCTCGCTCCTTTTTATGCGGAAAAGGTCTGAAGATTCCTTATGGGTAGATTTGCCCTAGGAACTTTCTACATTTCATTTTCCTTACAAACTACTTAACTATTGACAAAGCTAATCAGCATATTTGTCACTTGCTTTTGCATAAATGCAACTTTGCAACCTTTGAACATAATTAGTTTACACCCTCTTCCAAATCTTGGCTACACCGAAGCCTACAAATTCTTTGCTGACTGCGTTTTGTTTCGCTGACCAGAGGCCAAATTTCAGAAGTGTAAGAGACCTTTACATAACTGACCTTTACATAACCTTTACATAACTTTTATATTGAAAATAACTTCTTATGAATATGATAGGATTTTTGAAAAAAATGTACAAATTCAAATGAGTTACAAAAATTTGGTTGGTTCGAAACGTACTATTGAATAGATCATTTATTTTTGCTGAAAAATGGTAACATTAGAATAACATATTGATTAGATAGAGCTAATCGTAATGTAGCATTTTTTACAATTACATATTAGATTTCAGTAAATTCATTGTTTATTACTATGTGATGCACAATAATTTGTATTAAGTTACTAGGTAGGTTCCATACCTAGTTTTATTATTAGGAATGAGCAAGTTTGCTTTCGCTGGAGAGTATTGACCACAAGTAATTATCTTCTTTCTATTGCACTTACATATCGATCGATATGTTCCATTTAAAAACTCTCTGTTGTTTTGTTCCCATATTCAGTTTTGCTGATTGTTATTTAGTACCTTAGTTTGTCAGCTTCCACTTTTTTTCTAAATCTTCTATTAAGAGTTTCTTTCTAAAGTTCTGAAAATAACAAGTTAGTTGAGACAATCCCTTGCACATTTTATTAATAACAGTATTTCTTTATTTTTTCATTTACAGTGTCTCATTGAAATAATTTTGAAACTCTGAAGTAATTTTAAGAATTTTAAATGAAACTTAATGATTGTTTTTCTAACAGATAATGTTAATTATAGAGACCTTTTGAAATAATCGTTGTAAATTGCGGGCTAAATAGAAAGGTGTTGCAGATAAAGCTTGATATCGTTTCTCGCTTATTTTGGTTGCAATAAGCAATTCCTTTCAAAGCCAGGACTTAAATGAATTTCGGAAAAATTCTGGGAAAATTCGTGTGAACACCTTATCAGTTCTGCCGATATTATTAAGACTTATTACGAGTTGCAGCAAATCTGAGTTTTTTTTTTTCGATGAAATTTGAATTTGCTCTGCTGCTGTTATTAAGCAGTATCACAGGTACACTGCAGGTCAGTTATTTTACGCCTCAATTTTTAAGTATAAGATTGATTGATAAAGTGTTTTCTGAAAGACTTTAATAAGATACAACATAAGTATTGTTTTTGAAGTCCTAGAAAAATGATGCGAACAATGTAAGAAGAACAAAGGTCAATAATTTGTGAAGATTGAAATTGAAATTTATGGGATGGGAATTTATCTTCACCAGTGTTTTGAAGATATGCGATTATATAACATTGGTGAAGTGTTTCATAAATATCTTGGATGAATGGGCATGGACATTATATGAATTGAAAGATAATGTTGTTACAATCAACGAAAATCAGTGTGAGCATCTAAAGCAGCTCGATTTATGTATCAAAGTAAGCCTTCATTGCTTTTTTCTCAACCGGATCCTCCGAGAATGTATCTTAAAACTGAAAAGACACAGTATTTATTGTCCCAGAATTTTTAGACTGACGACCTCTTATATTTTTTAGGCTGTTCACATTTTGTATATGATATATAGCAGTAGCACGTATTATCTGAGTTTTAATCTAGCAATTAATGAATAAATTTTTGAAAATTCCCAGAAAATGTTATTTTCCTAGGGTAAAAGAGTACACGTGAGTGATAAGCTTAGAGCAATAGTCCTAAACCTTTGGTCTCCGGATCACAAGTGGTCCGCGATGCTGGTAGCCCAGTGATTAGAAAACAAGCGGAGGCTGTTTTATTTTGTAATGTTACGCTAAGTTTAACTGATATGTTAAAATTTTTCATATCAGAGTTTGTTTCCAAAAGAGTTTATTATTTTTGAGCCTTGTGGTTCATGCCACAAACAAAAAAACCAAAGCAGTCTTTGGTCAAGAAAAGGTTGGGAACCATAGGCTTAGAGACTATGCTCAAACAAAATTTTTCCAAGTTTGTTGCAAAATTGAATATTTACTGCATGTGAAAAATGAGTAAGGGTACAGAAAGATCAGTTAACCCACTAAATTAGGTGAAGAATATTAGTGAATTGCAATACCAACAAGAAGGATTCTGCACCTAATTAATTATGTGATACAATGGCAAAGGTAGAGTAATTATCCCACCCTGTACATTCAAATGCAATTGCCTTTAATTCCACGTTTATGATCCATTGTCCTAAATTCTAAATTGTTCATAAGAGAATAAAGGAGTATGGAAGGTCAATTTGCCATAGCTGTTGAATATTCTTAAAAGTTTTTTCCTTCTGTGATAGCATCGGCAACACTCCAAATTTCCATAAATAACATGTTGCACTAATTTGTAATTTGTTCCTGTTTTCAAATTTTCAATCGTATCATAAGCTATCTTGATTTACGAACAAAACTGTGAAGAAAGAATGTGTTCAGTTTGAAACACTTTGTTGGTTACTGCAGAAGGCAGTGCGGAAAATCATCCGGCTCGGTATAACATGCTCGTAGTATGCATAAGTGCAGAGGATAACTCAAATGTTTTGTAACTTCGTTAGGGAATTTGTTAACAGCTTTTATTGCCCGTCTATAAAAAATGAAAGAAAAAAGAATTTCACACTTAGCAATTAGACTAATCTAAATTATTTATTGAAATATATACGACTGAGTGATAGACAAAATTTACATAATTTTATTCGTTAAATTTGGAAGAGTGTTATTTTAATTGAAGCCATCAATTGGATAGGTAATTTATTCGCTCCACATTGAACAGGCTAACATCTGGTCTTTACGAAGAAGAAAATAGAAATAAACATAGTGAATCTTTGTTCTGCCATAAAAAAATTCAAGCGGAAAAGGAGCCTGCTATTTCAGTTTTGTGACCTAAAATGAAAACGCAAAAGAATTGTGATTATGGGATATTTCATCTCGTTATTAGGGTGGAAATTTTTCAGGATGCTGGACCAGTTAAGCATGAATGCGAACATAATGAAATTGTTGCTGCTTCAAACACAGTAAGCGATCTGTTGATACATCGAAAAAATTCAGGCAGCTTTTTGAAGAGTTATTATCTTTTGACATATGCTTGTTCACAGGTTAGTTACTTGGTTTTTGGAGCCATTTGGGTTGTTTCTGTGAGAGAGATTACAATATCATGGGCAACCACTTAAGTGAATTCTTTCCATATAAAAAAAAAAAATCATTCATTTATTTTCTGAAATACTAACTTTTATTTTTCAACAGACTTTTTTCATTCCGTATCAGATAAGTTTTCCGAAGTTTTGAATTTAACCTGCTTCCATTTTGGTTTCTACTATGTTTCTAATAGATTTAATTAGCACTTTTTTTTACAGGAAGGACAGGAAATACTAAGGGAACATCGTGAATGTTTGGCGGAAGAACGAATTGGTGAAATGACACTCAGCGCTGGAACTTACTTGTCCGAAAAGTTTCTGGAACATCCCGATGATCAGGTTAGCATTTTATGGATCAGCTGTTTAAGATTGCAGCAGAGTTGGTAAAAGAAAGAGATCCATGCAGTAGCATGTCAGTAACTTCTACCTTTCACTTAATTTAATTGTCAGTTCGATAAAAAAGTTCTGCTCATCAGTTCGTAATCGATCATCTTTCAGGTTTGCCAAGAAGTAAACAATAAATTGCAAGAATATATCAATGCAATGAAGGGAATTTGTCGATCAGAAAGTGCACAAGTAATCATGTGTAAAAGCTTGAGAAATATGTTCAAGGTTTTATATTTAATATTTGTGGTAGCAAATTTTCTTATAAAAGGAGGGGAAACTATTTTTCAACATTTTGATGATTTCATCCGATAATGCGGTCAGAATGTTCGTTTTTTTTTTCAGGGTTTGCATGCAGATAAGTTACATTCTTGCGATTTTGATTGCAATATTCCACAGCTTGACGAAGTAGCTGAGCCAGGACTGTCTTCAGTGGTAGATCATGAGGGTGCAGCTAGTGGAACAGCCGGACAAGATAGCCTGGTTCCTGAAGCAGTCAATGAACATGCTGTTGCTGCAGATGGTACTGCACCGGAAAGTCATTCGTTGAATTCTTCCTCTTCTTCGTCGATATGCCTCATTCACTCCATTTTATTTTTGCTCACGTCCATTATTTTCTCATAGAATCAGTTTGTTTAGGAAATTAGCAGAACCCTCAAGCTTATTTGGTACCATAGGTGCCGCAACTCTTGTTCAGCTAATGTATCACTTGTTCAGCTGTTTAAGCTTATATTTTACACAATAACTATAGATATTTACAGATTCCAGCAGTGAGACATTACGTAGTTGCTCTGAAATTTCAGATTTCAATTCAATTTTTTAAAATATTTTACACCAAGTATACATGTGATAATATGCAACTTGTATATGATGCCCTGCGATCAACGGACGCTTCAAAATGGTGTGCGGCTGATATAACATATAGTTTTTATATTGTGAAGTCACTGTAAACAATGCTTAGAAAATATTTAATTCACATACATCTCTAACTCCACTTTGGATCCGCCATTGCTCGAAAATTAAATTATGGTTAATCCGAAGAAAAGATTGGTACGATCGACTTCAGCCAGCAAAGTTTCCATTAATGATTTTGGAATTCCAAATGGAATGAGAAAGCCGACTACCTCTATCAATTCAAAATGATAGAATTTTTGAAAATGCTTAGCTGATGATTGACTAAATACTACTGAATATGTTTCTACGACACAATTTTTTTTCGAAGTAATGATTCTTAAACTAGAAATAGCTTGTCGAATCATCAAATCAAATTTCTCGATCAGTTTCTCGTTCCGGAACCTATTTATTGCTTTCATCGATTTTAATTTCGTACTTTATGTTCCGTAATTTCCTTTCGGCAATGCAAAATTGACGCCAGACTTCCCACCTTTTCTTTTATTTCCCTCTCAAACTTTTATCATGTTATTTCCCCAAAATTTGTCTCTCCTCTTACTTTCATCATATGTGTTACATTATCCTCAGTTCCATAGATTCCATAGATGATGTGAATGTCCTAGATGTTCCTTATTTTTATCTTATATATAGCTCAACTTTGTCAATCCTGGAAAGAATCCTCATTGCGTTCTTTTCTCACGGGAAAGCCGAAATGAGAAATTTAGGTTCACTTCCTAATATAAATTTCCCTTAACTCATGGGAAGTTTCCCCACAGGGTTCCTCAATACTACACTGCATATTTCCCCGAACAGTATACTGCCATTCGCTTTATACACAAAGGTAATACTTGATTTCTTACCAATCTACTCGCCATCCATAAACTGTAACAAACTATGAGAAGCCTTTTTTTCAATTTGATAGAAAAAAATTGCTTCTTTCCACTGTTTAGGAACAAATCTCATAAATTCCTCATTTTCAGGGATACTTCGGGGACATACTATACTAATATTCATAGTAATTACTTTATTAACCAGATTAATTCCAGATTTCCAAACATTTACAGTTTTTGTCTTCAAGCAATTCTCTCTCAAAAGCACTAATGAAGCACTTCAGTAACTGTAGAAAGATATGAAAAGCAAATTTTAAAACCCTATCTTAAAGTTTTGTCCTTATTGCACCAAATCCAGGCTTGCTTTCAATTTATAGTCATCAGATATTGCTCGCCAATAATAACCATCCAAAACACAAGGTAAAAAATAATATGGGACGCTTCGTATCACCCACCCTTCCGCTCTCCAAAATCCAAAGCGAAACCAATGATATATTTAATGATATCTCCAAACAACATTTGGAGCACCACTAATCACATGAAAATCTCAAAGTAAATACATTTTATTCGTATTAATAATAGTACAATGTCATGAACAAGAGACAACGGAGAGAAGGTTGACTTACTGTATAAGGGATGGCCAAGAAGATTTAGAGAGAACTGTGTTCACCTTTGTATACCACGGTAAAAAAGTATTTTCTTGAAGATGAGGGAATTTCGTAACTATGATGTAAAGGGTCGTAAGGCTAGAACTTATTTAAGTGGTGTGTAAGTATTATACATACGAAACTTTAACCCTAAGGATGGTATAACAAAAATATGAATACGAAGGAACTAAACAAGGAAAGCATGAAATCAGAAAATCTATATGCAAACAGGTGGTAAGTAAAATAAGTGGAAACGCAAAACAATGCGATCGACTAATACCACCGAGATATGGGGAGTGAGGGGAAGGAGGGTAGTAAATACAGTAACTTTAATTATATTATCAAGGATAAGTTCTTCGCAGCAAAGTTGAGACAATAAAGATAACCGGAATGAAAGGAGAAATTAGGGTGGAAGTTTCCGTCATCAACAACAGTTCCAATTAAAAATTGGGCTTAAACATGTTGAAAGAGACTCCCAATCAAAAAGTAGATTGTAACAAATGGAAAAAAAATCTCGTAAAACAAAAAGCAGGAAGTAGTGCGGTTATCTCTCATTTGTTATTCCTTAGGAAAATGGGTAAGTATATTTCCTCTTCAAATGGAAACAAAACCATATTTTTAACAACTAAATATTGATGCATTACTGAACATACAGTTAAGTTATTTTTCTTGATTCTTGATAAACCTTTGGGAGTGGATAAACATAACAGTGGATAGGCAGATTTTCAATTAATTGAACAAATCATTATTTTCAATGCAAAAGTTTGTGCTAGACTAAAAACTGCAAGAAACATAGTGTGAAAAAAGGTACAGAAGCTAGAAACTTATAACTTCCGAACTTTAAGAACAACGTATATGATTATCACATAATGCAGCACAGGGGAAAAAAAAAAAGAAAGGTGTAAATTTATGCTAAAGTATAAGAACGGGATCTCTCGTGGAGCTAAAAACATATTGAAAAGTTCAAGAACCTACATCAGAAAATTTATTGAAACCAATAAGGATAAAACACCAGATACCGAACCATATTTTCTACAGTATAAGTAAAATACTTGGGGTGGTGGTTAATAAGGAAATATAGATTGAAGAAATCAGTCACTGAAGACAGCAGTTCTGCTTCTCCTGTGGTGGATAATAAGCATGTTGGCCAGTAAACGACCCTGGCGTACCACCATACGATTGCTGCGGCGTACCACCCTGATAAGGGCTCTGACGGTTGTCACTCTGAGGGTAAGAGGACAACTCCGTATAACCCTGTTGCTCTTGAGGACACGCTGTCTGTCCCGGTGAACAAAAGGGTTGACTTTGTGGATAAGAGAAATTATTCTGTGGATGGGGAGGATTATTTTGTGGATAAGGCGTCATGTTCTGTGTGTTACCACCCGGAACAAAACCGAGACTTGGATATGATGAGAATGATCCGTCTGCAGTGCCCGCTGGATATGGCCCTTGTGGTATGAACGGAGGTGAAGTAGGTTTTTTGGATGCTTCATCATAAGAAGGCGGTTTGATGCTTTCAAATCCAGTTATTTTCAGAATACGCAGGTGTGTTCCAGTTGGCATACCTGGCATTGGCTGATCGAAATCACCCCACAAATAAATAATTCCTGAAATTCCTCATCGTTGAATTATAGTGCATAAGTATGAATCAGCTTCAAACATGTTGCTACTACAATTACTGAACAACAACAAAAGTCTTTGAGAACAACACATGACAAAAGAGACAGTAAGACATAAATCAACACCACAAATTTTGAAGTTAACCTGAATTCGTAGCTGTAAGGCGTGGTTCAATCAAAGGGATTGGCATTTCTGCAGGAATCTGTTGCCATATGAAAGTTGAAAGATCAAGAAACCAATAGTCAACGAAACGAGATACCGAGCCGTTATAACTGATTTCGCCACCAGCAAGTAAAATGTATCCTGTAAACTCCGAAAATTTTTGTCAAACCGTAAACCAATCTCAAAGTGATATTATAAAAAGATTTATATGGATGAAATGAAAAGGACGAAAAGATTAGCTATCCAACATACCTGCCACTGAATCAATAGCAGCCTGCTTACGAGCACATGGTACACCACGCACAGGATCAGGGCTGCACATCACAGTATGTAACTGATGTTGCCCTGTGATTTCAAGAACGTGAATTCGAGAATGATCGAAATGTCCATCAGGTGACTGGGAAAGAAAATATATTTTCCTGAAGGAAAAAAACGGTGATTAATGTAAAAGTAAACCTCGCCAACATAAAAGTAATGACAGTTTTAATCTTGGGTTTTGTCGTAATGAAGAAGACAAATATGTTGGAAATCGAATATTTGACAATTCTGACAAAACAGGCCGGTTGAAACCAAACTCATTAATTCTACACGGTTCATGTTGAAAAAAGTGAAGAAAGAGAAATCACACCCTTGGCTTAGATAAGCATCATAATAATGGTTGAGGTCTGCCCCTGCGACTGAAAAGGATTCGATTGGGCTGGAAGGCTGCTCGGTAAGACAGTTGATTCGCCAAATAGTAAGGCCAGGGGCAGTTATCAGCACAACTTCAGGTGCATCCTCACGCATCGAAACGATAAACGTATCACTGATTGGTATAAAATTTGACAACAGTGCTCTTGGCTCGCTTTCCAAATTCATCCCATCACGTGTCAAATTAATTCTGTAGAATAATAACTGAAAACAAAACGGATATCTGACTAGGATTGAAAAGACAAAGGAACCTGAACAACAAGTTATTCGCAACTCACTGAGTTTCCTAAGCTATATCGCCCTCAACAGTTCTCACGACTATTTTAATTTCCATGTTTCTTTTGTAACAAAATTTCTAGCACTTTTTTATATCACTCTAGCCTTTTACATCCATTACTCCATATGTTTCTATAACTTCCATTTATCATATACATTTCATTTAAAAAGTAGAGAAAAACAATAACAAACCTCAGTTTGACCATATGTGTTGGCTGTACAAGTAATGATAAAT